GGGAACGATGTGCTCTCCCACACGGCTGTTTAGTCTACCGTTTATCTTGTATTGTGACTAAAAGTCCCACACAGCGATACCACAGCTCCCCTGAGTGCGAGAAGCTCTTGGCGGCCTACAGGTTTTTCTGCAGGGCCCGCGGCGGACAGGAGCGTTGGAGTGGGTGGCAGTTTGTCATCCGGCTACCGCTGGGCCTCTCCTGCGCCGTTTGTGTGATTTTCTGTGGCTTGTGCTCCGTCTCGCTGCCTGTCATCCACACGAGCTCCGGCAGCCTGACTGTGGAGACGTGGGGGAAACGGCTGCTTCTGACGAGTCCTCGAGCCTGGCAGGAAGTGGAGTCGAGAGAAGCCTGGAGTCGAGAGGTGGCAAATGAGGGCAGACAGTATAGCGCATGTTGGTTGCTAGTAATTGAATACTCCTAGTCCTCCATCATGGCTTGGGAGCTGGGACCAAGCCTTCACAAACCCCATGTGAGGAGGTGTTTCCTGGGTTTTGGTGTGGATTCTTTAAGGAACCTCTGTTCCTTATCTTTCCATTACCATTTACCTTTTCAACCATGAAATAAGCAAAAGTGGCCATCCCAGCCATAGTAATACAGTGCAGCTAATGTTGGTATAAAAACAAACACAAAAAAGACAAGACTTTTTCCTATAGTTTCTGTGCTCACACCACACTTTTGCTTTCCAAAGACCAAGCGTTTTTCACACCCCTTCTCGCTATAACCTTAATTTAATTTCGCTTGACTACTACTTTACTGTCGCTCTAATTTGGGGTACCACAGCAAGCCTGTAGTTTATACCGCACAGCGCCACTGGAGGAAACTGCTTACGTTTCGCTTACGTTACTGGGCGTTTCGAAGAGACGCAGTATCAGGTGACGAGCAAGCCCGAGCGTGTTCCCTTCAGCCACTTCTACAGACTGTGCCCTTCTGTGAGCACAAACCGGCCTTGCCCCACTGACAAACACTGCTCGCACTTCACGTTAAAGGCTGGCGCAAACATATCAGCGTTTGCCCGCCGAGTATACACAGGCGTCGCAAACTCCGGCTGTGTGGTCACTCCGTGTGCCTCTGGTCCCTGCGGCCGTCACGTACGGAGGCAGCATGTTCTTGCATGAAGGTTTAAGATTAGATAAATCACGGGGTTTTCTTTAGCCTACAAAGTCAGATCGGCAATCTGAGGCATCAGTCTAACATTAGTTCAATAAATTCAGCAGGCTGAAGTAAATGCATTTTGTCAATACATTCTCAGTGTATTTCTCAATTCATAACATCTCGATCATCGTTTACAGCATAGGAATGTTTGCAAACAACATGAGGCCATTCTGCCTACCTAAGCTCATCTGTTTGCTGAAAGATGGTATCGGTTTGGACAGCATGAACGTGTAGCCTTGTTCAATACTGTCACAACCCCGGTGTTTCGTTACTTCCCGACAATCAAAGAAAACAAGGGAATCAAACTAACGATCTATTGGCGCAATAACCACATTTCTTTTGGCATTTGGATTTAAATTTCTTGAAAGGATACTCCGTGAGAATTCACGTATCTAAAAATATTTAAATTTAGCAGCGAAACAATAAGACAAAGCACCCCTCCCCCCCTCATTTGCCATTCTGTACTCCGGACGAGGGAAGGGTGGGATACAGAGGTTAATTCTGTGTACAGTAATTGAGGAGTGGAACTGGTTTCTCAGGTGTGAACATTTGGCGCCTCCCTTTCATTTCCTCCCGCCGTGAAGATGAAAGCCCTGCTCCCCAAGACATTGTTAGACGACACTTGACCCGAGCCCACTTTGCGCCATGTGTAGTATAACTGTATAAACTCTTCTGAGACACTCTGCCATTCACACGTTGGCACTCATGTTTGTACAAACGTCTTTCGACCCCCACAGCCTATCATTTAAGACGATAGTCGTACCTCTGCCTCCAGACAGTATATTTTATTACAGCTAATCAAAAAAGACATTTTGAAAGAAGACTGTTATCTCGTAATTTTCCAACGCCTTCAATCTGAACTAAGAAAGGAAGAAGGCTTCACAGCCGAAACGTTGTGTTTTCTCTCTTCTCTTTTCAGCATGGATTGAACCTATTACTTCCCAGCTGAACCAAGTAAAGATGTGACGTGGACAGTTTTAAAAAAGAAAATCCACGTCGGTCTGGTATATTTTAAATATTTAAAAAATTAACAAAACATTGTACTTCAAAGAACAAAAATACATTGCTATCCCCTTTTTTTGCGATTACAAGTCCAGAGGTACGGGTTAAAAACCCAAATCCACACAGGAAAGAAATCACAGAGGAAGAGAAACCAGTGACCCGTACAGACGACTTTCGACACAGCCGGCCGCTCTCGTTGGAACTCAAACCAGAGACTTTCTTTTGCGTCATCCAGCCGAAAATTGCAGAGTCTGACCGCAGCTGGCTTTTATTTTAGATTTTTTTATATTAAGTGTGTTATTAAGCGCTCATCCCTGTGATTTGGGTGTGCCTTCGCCTGGAGTGGCCACTGATGACCGTTTCACCGCTGTCTCTAATGGCAGGGCGAGCTGGCTGCTCCTCTGTACAATGCTTTTGGGGCTTCAAATATCTTAGGTTTTGGTTTTCGACTTCGGTCGAGCTCGGACAATGCCGTGTGGTCTGGTTTCTACCAGAGGCGGCGCCAGTCTCTTCTGGTGGCTGGAGGTGGTCTGGAATATGAACTACGGTGGGGGGTAGGAAGCACATCTCAGGTTTGGAGAGACTATTTTCAAAATTGCTCTCTCCCCATTCCCTTACATCTAAACTTCCTCTGGCTTGCATGCTTAGCTACAAATTTAGATTTGACAAGTTCCCAAAGCATCTAACACGTCGGTGGCGTACAACGATATAGATAATCTGCACAGTTTGTGCTGGAAAGTGAGCCTCGGGGGGCGTCTGTTTACTTGGGTTCACCCCCTGAGCGCCTTTTGTCGTCAGCGCAAAATTTAGGCCTTGGCGCTGGCTCTCGGAACAAGCCCTCGGCTCCTTCCCAGCACACACTCAATCCCACAGGCTGCGGGCCAGCTTCCTGCTGCTCACGCCGGCCAAGGCAGCGCGCAGAACAGCGCGTACCCCGAGCGGAATGCGCCGTGCGCGCCGCGCTCGTTCCGCACGTCACCTGCGCTCCCCGCGGCCTGGTGTTTTTCCACAGGAAGAGGTGAAAAGGGGGAGAGCGCAGTGGATGCGAAAGATATTATAGTTATTGGAAGCCATAGCAACTTGGCGCCAGGTCAAACTATTAACTCTGCTGGTGAAAACAAGGGGAATGCACTAATCTGGGTTTGACTGTGGGATCTGTTTATTAACCACGCTTACTAAAACAGCTCGTTGAAGCACTGCTGACTTCAGAAACCCCCGGAAGTAAACTGAGTGTTTAGTAATTTGTTAAAACCTCACGAATGTGGTATTTTTAAAAACAGTGTTCTGGTACTCGAAAGGTATTAACTATTTCCTGATTGCAGTAAATAAAATGATGTTGTTGATGACAATTGTGACACGTAGTTTGGATGAAACGTTATAACCTTGTTAGCACTACCCACTCTCTCCTTTTGAGTACAGTGAAATATATTTTTTTCAACCTTGTCAAAACCCGAGTGAGTTGTCGGAAAGTGTTCTATGTATCTTGTATAAATGTATATATAAACCCCAAGCAATTTTCCGTGTTCAGTCGTAGGTGATGTGTGTTCATTTTTCGGTAGGTATAACGGATATCCGCCCTAATCCTTCCTGTAAATGTAGTTGCTTTGCTTCAGTAAACATCTTTTGTAACACAAATATCAAAATGCGATACGAAAATACTTCAAAAAGTGTAGTGTTACCAATTAGGCTGATGTTGTACAGAGAAAAGACCGAAAATTTTCTATATTTAAGTGTTAATGTCCTATCTAAACGCGAAAGGTATTTTGAAGACATACGTGTAAATAAAATATTTTTAATTTTTAATTTAAACGTGAAATAGAAGAGATGTAACGCGCCAAGGACTGGTAATCTGACCAGCTTCGTGAGCAGATCACAAACATTAACCACTCATCTCTCCCGAGAGACTGCGTGGTCACGACTTCAGCTGGAAAAATATTCCTTTGTGATCAGTAGAAAACGAGCTCGACAAAAGACGGGGGCTGTTGTACAGATTAAATCTTTGGCCATCATTCAAAAGACCAGACGCTATTGTAAATGAATCAGATACGCTGCGTTAACTTCAAGCCCCAACCTCACGTTATTATTTTTTTAAACTGACCACAGAAAAACAACAGCAGTCCCAAGGAATGATACTATTATTTTGCCAGGATAATTTAAAGAGCCCTTAGTATCAGTAGTTTACTGTAAATATACTGAATATGCTTGTTTTCACCCGCGAGCAGGTTTTCAGGTCGTTTAAAAAAGTTATTTTGTTTTTAATACGCTTCATTATAATGTAGTGTAGCGTTGATGCCGCATTAATTCACGCTGGCTGTGCGACGTACTGATAACTCGATCTTGAAGGATGCTGTATTGTACAACAAGGATTATTTCTTAGCTGAAACTTGGGACACTTAATAGGAAAAACATAATTAACTATTTTAACACGACTCCTTCAAAATTAGAGTTTACTGTGCTAAAATTGTAGACAACTAAAGTTGAACGCAGGCTTTAGGGGGTGTTTCGGTTTAACGCCTCCCTATAAGGTTATGTTTCACGCAAAAAAAGTAAACTTGCTTTGAAATCTAACACGAGGAAAAAAAACTTCCCAGTAGTGTCGTCACCAAACACGTTGATACGTTGACGTCAGTTTCTCCACTCGGCCAGCGGAAGTTTATTTGCATAATCCCGCCCCTCGACGCTTCAGGGCATTTTCCGTAGTTCCCACGCCCCCTCGAACTCTACGGGCCAATCAGATGTTCGACACTGGTAGGTGGGTCAAGTTCCGAGATATTAATTGGCCCGCTACACACGCCTGTCACTGTGCCTCTTAGTTTATGTCACTTCTTTGTGTTCCCCTTTCATAAATAGGCGAGGTAGCTGCGAAGAAATTAGTCTTTCAGGCGGTTGCCGTCGTTGCACTTATTATTACCCTGTTTTTATATGTACAGTCTTTTTTTTAACTCATTAATTTCTTACGTCGGGGAGAAGAATGCACCTCTGAACCAGCCAAAGAGAATACTGTTCTTTTTAAAACTTCAAAACACGGCGGGAGGAAAAAGCAGACACGGCTTCGCGTCAAAGGAAAGGCCCTTTTCGGAGGAAAAAGAAATCATTTTCACGCACCATCGACACGGCAGCGTGGAGGAGTTAACGAGAAGAGAAGCGCTCTAGCCCCGGCAAGTTTCGAAAGCTCTTAACCCGTTTCCAAACGTGGGGCAGAATAACCCATGGATCACCGCTACAGCACCAAAGGCGACATGATCCCCGAGCTGTCTGCCGCCGCGGAGTTCGTCACGAGCCTGCTGAGGACCCGGGGCTTCCTCCACGAGCCGCGGCTGCAGGTCTTCAGCGCGTGCCTGCAGGAGGCGTTGGCAGGTGAGCGGACGGTCCTCTGGGGTCCAAGGATTTGTAATCGCGAAACGAACGGGCGTCTGAAGGGAGTTTTTGTGAGAGAGTGTCTTTGTTATCCCCGAGGGGAATCATTGGTGGGGCCATTTAGTGGCAGCGGTTTGTAAAAATAATGCTTCTACTGAGGGAAAAAAAAGGAAAAAAAATATGCTTGGGTTGATTTAGACGTACGTTCTGAGAGGCATTCAATTCGGGACCAGTTAGCCTTGCTTAAAGGATTCCAGTTTTTCTCGAATTGGTCCTCGTTGTAGACGATGACGTTGCTTCGTCTACTGCTAGGTTACAAAGTTCCCCTATTTACAATGCCTTTCTCAGACGTAAATATTTGCTTTCTTTCCTTGTGTGAGAAGTTTTCATTTCTGCTCGCTCGCTCTCCCTGGGTAATCGGCGTCCATCTCCAGATCTGAATGCGAGCTGTAGCCTCTGTCTGCGAGGCCGGTCCTGACGTACGCGGCTTTGTTGTTCTTTCCCCAGAGCACTACAAACAGCACTGGTTCCCCGACCGGCCGCAGAAGGGCTCCGGCTACCGCTGCATTCGGATTAACCACGAGATGGATCCGATCATCAGCAAGGCCGCGGGCCGAATCGGACTGAGCAGCCAGCAGCTGTACCAGCTCCTGCCCAGGGAGCTCACCCTCTGGGTGGACCCGTACGAGGTGTCGTACCGCATCGGCGAGGACGGGTCCATCTGCGTGCTGTACGAGGCGCCGCCGCCGGCCTCCAGCCACTCTCCCAGCGCCGGCGGCGCCGGCGGCGGCCTCGGCCCCTACAACCCCCTGTTCACCTGCAAGAACCAGTACCTCATAGGGCGCACCAGCCCTCCCAAAAATTACCTGATGACCGTTTCCAGTTAATGTGCATTAGAGCGTCGTGCAGGAAAAAGACAGGCAATGCGTTTTTCATAGGGAGGATTCAACCAGCGTTCACCCTGTAAGGAAGTGACTTTCTATTTTTTGTACAGCTGGGTATGTAATTCTTTGCCCCCCAAATAGGCCTATTTCCAGTTACTGGGGCTCTGTTACCCCCCTCCCTGTAGGGGTTTAGCTTGAGCACCCATTAAAAACAGCCCAGTGAAGAATAAATCAGGGGATTTTTTTGCATTAAGATGTAGCTTCTTAACAAAAAAAAAAATAGTTGCCTTGGACGGGCCAGTCCATGAGCACTTTTTGCACTGCCAAGGCATTTCGTATTTGTATATTTGTGTCCTTTATAGAATTAACTGCGCGAATCTTTTTCATGCTGAGGAAGCATTGTATTTTTTTATTTATCCACGTGATCTTGACACTGCGTAATATATCTGGGGGAGGGGAAGGGGGTAACATGTCTGTGCCCTCTTGAGGAGTCAAAAAAAGGTGCAATAAAGGATAAAAAAACTCCCACAACACAGCTGTTTGCTAACGTGGTTAACTCCAGCAGGTGTGCGTGCTTTTTTTAACAGTTTTGTAGTGATCACTGTAACCACGTGGGCCTCGACGCCACTTTACAGAAATCCCGACAGCGTGGCCTGTTTTTTTGGGAGAGCCGGGAGGTGATTGTAAAACAAAGAAGCTCGAGTAATGCACTACTGGTTTCAAATTTGGAACTGACATTTTTGTTTTTTTGTAAATTGCACCCCCTTGTTTTACAGTCGTCGCGCCCACCTTTTTCGTTGTAATTTTCGGCTCGCGTGTGTGTGTGGGGGGGTGGGGGTTACCGTTCCTGCTGTGGCTGCCCCCTGTTCGTTCCACGCAGCCTTTGGGCAAACCAGTGTTGTGGGAGTTTGTGCTCCTCGAAAGGGGTTAAGAGAAAAGCTTTTCCTGCTGTTTTCTTCCGTGCAATAGGACCCCAGTTACACAAAGAGCCGCTCTCCGCGCTTGAGGGCGACTGGCACTGAACAGCTTTATTTGTTCTCCAGTTTTTGTCCTGGATGAAAACCTTCAAGTGTTCCTTCCTAACAGTTCTTGTGCTGTGAACCTGAAACCTGTTGGGAAGGACGATGGTTTGTCTGGAAAGAGCCCCATTTAGACTGGGGTGGGGGGGGAGGGGGGGGTGGGCTGCTGGGGGGGGTCACATCTATGGATATTGTGTCCAGTGGCCACTGAACTTCCTTTTGGAATCTCCATTGCCTGTTGGAATAAGCTGTGAGACAGGAGGCCGTTGTAAATTTGTAAGCGCCAAACTGACACGTTGTATCCTAATGCTGGAGTGTAATTATGTTCTTAATTTTTTTTTTTGATGGGGCTGTTGACCAGCTGATGTTTACCAGTTTCTATTTTTTGGGGGATTGGGGTTGAGGGGCTGTAGACTTTCTAAGCTGCAAGAGGAGATGTATTCCATGTACATTTTTTTTATAGATTGTGTACATAGATAAATGTACAGTTTTGTACTCTACACAAAGTCATTTTAAGGAAATAAATTTTTACAAATTTGAAAATTACCCAGTCTTTGGAATTATTATTCCGTGCCATTGCTAAACGTCTGACCAAGTGATTGTTGAAACTGATATACAGATGCAATAACCCCAAAACACATCCTGTTATGTTAATTTCCCTCAAAAGCCAACCTGGAACTATATCGATCTGTTGAAAAGAAGACCAGTGAAGGAAATACCTCTAGGAAATGGAGCTGTTTCACTTGGATGATGGATTGCTTTGGGGGAGCACTGTTTGAAAATAATCAGTTCTGTCCTGTAGTTACCAAATACTACTTTAAATTTTTTTCCCCCCGCTCAAAGAATGAATGGGAATAGGCCCCAGTTGGAATTGTTTTGGATAACACTGACATTGCAGCGTTTTTCCGAGGATGGCAGTTGTTTCCCTTCATGATATTGTGGGCATGCTGTACTGGATTCTCTCTGTGGATCCTTTAGTGCACCTGAAAACAATAACCCCGATCGTCCACATCCTTGCTCGGAATTGGGAATGGGGTTCGGGTTTTCTCTGGTGGACCACCAAGATCTTGTCGCTTAACTCTTGCCTTGGTGCTCTCTGGCACACACCTGACCCAAACTGAACATAAAGGCTGTAGATAACCCAGCATCACACAAGCTGCTCACAGGGGCCCGACATGTCCAGGGTAAGGTAAGCAAGTAAAAAAAAAGTCACTCATCCTAGCAGAGGAGAAGCTATTTTTTTAGGCCAGACTGACACTTCGCAGCAACAAAGCAGAAAGACCGTTTTTTTTTTCCTTTTACTGCTCCGTTCGAAAAAGCCCCAGTGCATGCTCACAGAAGGGCTTGATTGTTTTGTCTTTTGTGGTTAAACCTTTTGTATTGGAAAGTCCCATCGTAATCTTCGGCGAGCTAGTGCAGCTGGTATCATGCTTCTTGCTACCTCAGATTTTCGACAAGGCCGCTTGGCTTTAAAGGCAGGTAGGGTGTCTTTTAACTTTTAGTAGTACGCTTATCAGTCCTTACCACTCCTTAATGCTGCTTTTCCTTGTGATAAACCAGCTGAAACCTTTGTACGCCATAGACCACACCCAGTGTGCAAAAACAGGACTTTCAATATAGTCTTGTGACAAAGGGAGAAGTTGAGGGCCTTTATGTTTTAAGTGGATGGTTGTAGGTTTGAGTTCCTGAGCAGCTGCTACTGTTTCTCATTAGCCGGGTGCCATATTCCCAGTTGCTCCAGTCAACTGTAGGATTGGGTGCCAGTATTGCGGGGGGGTAACCCTGTAATGGACAACTGTCCGATGTGGGGGTCACTCTCTCAGTCTAATAGCGCAGAAGCCAGGATAAGCTTCAGTCTGAAGAGCCTGCAGGCTGGAGTACAGACTACCATGAGAGAGAGTTGCCCCCAAGACCCAAGAGTAACTCATGTCACACATTCTGCAGTGTCGGTCATTGTTTATGCCATTGTCTTCGCTTCAAGGCCCCAGCCCTCTGTGTGTGTGTGTGTCATTGTGTTTTGTTTTCAGTAATGCTTTCTCCAGTTCACCCAGAGCCTTAAAATAAAACCGGAGAAAAGCAATGCCAAGGGCTGGGTTTCCTCTCCCGTCTCCTATAGAAACCCTGTCAGAGGAAGCAGATGGAGCCCTCGTTCTAATTGCTGACAGATATTCGGGTCTCTATCCACCCACCATGGACAGTGCAGCTCTGATCATTACAATAGCAGAGACACTATTGAATGACAAGATTAATTCACTGGGATGTAATACAGTGGGTAGTTGTTAAGGTGTACTTGTTTCTTAGTGGACTGATTTCCCAGGGCTAGGATTGTCCAAAGGTCTTTAAGATGTGCTCAGTTGTCAGTGCAAATGTTTATGTCCACAAGCTTACAGTTGTCTTAATGAGAAAGTCGTGCCATGCCATATCTTTAATTATAACATCTTACAGCTTAATCACTTGAAAGGTTTAATGAGCATTCAAAACTAATCTTGATTCCTGGGAAATTAAGTGTTATTTGGAAAGGGGTAATAGACTTGATAACAGGCCTTGGACTTTCAGGGACTTGCCGATATAGCAAAGGGTGTCACTGAATGATCCACTCTGGCTGGGCTAGTTTGTGAAAAGGCGTTCTTTTGTTCATTGTATAACTTCAAAGGCGTTCGGTTTTAAAATAAAACACTTCTTAAACTAGTGGAAAACCAAGCTGTGGTCTGCCCCCATGCAGTCCCAGTTTTCTGAAATACTCTTACTCTTCATCTGAAATGCAAATGCTTTTACATGAGCTTTTTTTTAAAAAAAACAACACAAAACTTTCCTCTCCTGCAACATCTCTCATATCACCTCTGTCCATGTCGAGCTGAGCACATAACTTAGAGCGGTATTCACGCCACAGCAAAATTGTTTCTCCAAAGTGTGGTGAAAGGGCTTTTCTGACTTCTTGTGAACATAAAGTCTGAATCTGGCAGATCAATGCAGGGGGTTGGACTGGGGCTTTGTTGGTGGCACACAGGTGTTCCTGGCAATAAGTGTTCTTCTGCATCTCTTGTGATGTGATGTGGTTCAAAAGCTCAAGCTGCGACAGGCGCTGGAGCCTGTGCTGTCGTCCCACATCTTCTGCAGGCTTTGTGGCAGGATATTGACACACGGGGCTTAGCCCGTGCACTTCACAGCCCTGTGCACAGCCCCTGTGAGGGCCCAGGTGGGTCTGGCACGGCCAGCCTTCGCGCTCTGTCACTCGAGTCACACAGATGGTTTCTCACCCTGCGCGTCTGCACCCACGTTAAAACGAGCGAGGTGATGTCAAGGCGGATTTCAGACGGAGAGTGCTTCCTGTGTGTAATATGTCTCATTAGAGAGGACTTGCTGTGCAGCAACAGCTCTTTTCTCAACTTCCCACCCCCTGAGAACTGGGCAGGTGTGGTCGGACCGCTCCTGTCATAATCTCCCAATGACCATGTTGCAGTCAAGAAAAGCTGCAAGCCAGTGCCGTCAGACCAGACAGGGTCTGCCTCCAAGCACCTGGAAGTAATATTTAAGTCCAATAATTATCACCCCTTGCCACTCTGTAAATATGGCTGGGTTACCTGTCATCTGTAGATAGCATTTGACAGCTGCAGACTCTTAACCGCACAACGGGTGACAAATCATACCTGTGGATCGACTGAGACCTCACCCTGTTATTACGTTAGAGCAAAAAGTGGAGCTGATGAAACCATTCGGGACTAGTCTGAGAAGAGACCATTCTGTCACAGTTTCACAGGATGGTCCCTGGCTGGGACGAGCAGCCCCTGCAGACCCTTTCCGAAACTCAGCCGGACACTGCAGTGCAGTGCATCCTGTACAGCACAGGCCATAGGCAGTTTAACAATGGAGAGCAACAGGAATCATGAAGCAGACCTTGGAACGTGCGATTTTGTTCGCCAATAGACTCTCGAAAGGAAAAACACTGGACAGCATGTTCTGATTAGCACTATTGTTGTTACTGTTTGGACTGCGTTTGGGAGTTTGGGGCCATCTTTTGTCTCTTTCTGTAAAATAAACATGTTGTTATGGGAAAGTTCCACCCTTTGAAAAGCTGGCTGTGGCGTAAGCAGATGGAGGAGCTGCAGAGGCACAAGGAAATGTTGGCAGAGTCAGGGGGAGGTGTTTAGAGATGTGGGAACGCATGAAAACAATAAATGCAGTGAAAATGTGAAAAAAACTTGACGTCAATATGGCACATAAGTATCAGTAACCAAAGAAGATTGGATAAAAATAGTAAGGAAGCATTTTTGTATCAGACCCAAGTGACCACTGTCTTACTTTGGCACCAGGTCAGGCCCAGTACACGGGTGGGGCAGCTGAAGACATGACACCTTGCAAGTGGTGCTTTACAGGCAGTAGCATGATGCGGGTTCTTCTTGGCGCCTGAGGATGAGGGCTCAGCAGACCTGAATCCAGTAGGTCACTCAGGAGACGATCAAGCCCAGTTCCCAGCTCTTGGACCTTACCCTAGCGCATCCAGCTCAGCGCAATCTGAACAGCAGGAGAGCATTCCAGGGATGAAGCTCTTTTTTCCACCCTCGTTGTTAGTGCTACTTCCCTTGGAATCGCGTCCCATCTCTAGCACATAACTGTAGCTGAAGCTCATCACAGCCATTTTTAGGCTATTCCTGTTCCTCCCCGAGTTTGTGTAATTTGTGGGTTTGGCTGTGCAACTGTGTGCTGATAGCCATGTTTTTCCAGTTGTTAGTGGTCTGGAATGTGCTTGGTGACCTGAAGTTTGTCAAGACGTGAAGCAGGGCCCCTCATTAGCAGTCTGTTTTCTTAAAGCCACACCTTAAACAGTCCCTTCTATTGGGAAAAGTGAATCTCAGGCTGGCCAGGGAACTGTTTTCACAGGCTCCCAGATAATGTCCTTGCCCTCACCACAGTACAAGATGAGTTCTTTGCATATTTCAATTTGAAGACTTGCAATGTTTTCCAGTGAGCTGTGGCAGTGCCTGCACGTCTGTTAATTTATCTAGTGCGAAACTCTTATGTCCCGATGACTCAATGTCATAAGACAAGACCTAACAGCCAACCAAATGTGCTATTGTCGTTTTCTTGTGCTGTTGGTAGAAACTTGTTCTGGGCCACAGAATTTGCTTTTTGTGTTTTCTGTGTTTCGGAGAGTTAGGCAGTTTGCTGGTTTTCATGCCAGCAGAGATCTTTTGAAAATTTGTGTTATCTATCTTTTGGGTTAATAATTCAACACGAATGCAATATTTCTGCTATTGTTTGTGTGTGCTTATGAAGGTTCTGAACTTTGATATCACAGGATTGTGGTCATTACTGCAATGGTACTGGAATGGTTTATATTATTTATTTGCTGTCACA